TTTTAGGGGGGCGTGGCAGAGTCTTAACTTTGATAAAGAATATCTCTTTGGGTTTGAGACTTTAGTCTTTGCAACTTCAGGGATCTTATCTATGCACAATCAGCTTGTAACACTCCAAAGAGAAAGGAAAACTTGAAATCGCATCATATGACCCCTTTAAGAAAAAAAAAAATAAGAAAAATGGAAAAAGGTTGTATATTTGTCTGTTTACCACAATATGCAAGCGTTACAAATTTAAGGAACATTACACCAATGCACAGAAATCATGCAAAAACCGGGCTGCATGCAAAATGTGGGACACGGCTAAAAATTACATTTAAACATTGTTTAAATTAAAGTATTGCTTCTTCAAACATATCGCTACTTCAATTGAAAAACAATTTAACATGTCAAAATTATGATGCTGCATGATTTTAATTTGTTGGACACACTCGAGAGGGTTGAGAGTTCTGCGGTGGGACAACATTTAAAGGGGGTGCAACTACAGCTGTACGATTAATCGTTAAAAGATCGCGATCTCGATTCAGACAACCACACGATCTCATTTCTAAATGACAACGATTCTCCCGTGTCTATTAAACCTTTGACAAAGTCTTACCGGATCATTCAAATCTGCGTTCTCACTGCCGCTGACACACAGAAAGCAGTTACCATGTTTGGTTAAGAAACAGCTTCACAAACAGTCTTTTCAACTACACCAGTGTTTCCCCTAGGTCTACGGCTTTGCGTTTTTTTTTGCACTCCTTTTTAAATGGTTAAATTACATTTTATTAATCAAAAAGCATGTCTAATTAATTAAAATCATGAAACTTAAACAATTTAACATGAATTTATTAAAAGTTTAACAAATATTACGTTTAGGGCCCTATGAAATGTTTTATTTGTCCAACCTTATGTGTTATTGTAACCAAATTCTGGTTTAGCATGTCTAATTTGAAAGCATAAAACAAGTTTAATTTATTCTTACAATAGCCTTATGATTTTTTTGCTCAGAAATTCTGTGTTGTGTATTTACATTTTGTTTTAAGGCATAAAACATTTAATCTATCTTTTAAGTAATGAAAATTAAATAAATAATTTGAAAATTTTTTTGGAAAATAAAGGTCATTTAATATTACAATTAAAACATTGAAGAAATATTGAATGCTTATTCCTTAAAAATAAGGTTTTAATAATTTTAGTAGTAGTAGTAGTAGTAGCAGTTACGTACATTCTACTCAACAGTAGTAATATGTGAGTAACAGCCAATGCCCTCAAGTTAAACCGAACTTTTATTTTGGCGGGTTGCCGTGAATACCATTACATTTCTGTGCGTGTATGACATGAGGATAGTTTTACTCAAATTAAACGGTCAAATGCTGATGAAGTGACTCTCAGAGCAGTTCTGGAGATGTTATTCATGTGTTTATGTCCTCATTAAATGTCCTCATTATGTCCTCATGTGTTTATGTCCTCATTGAAGCGTCACGAGCACTTCAGTACGAGTACTACACAAAACCGCGCGTCTGCGTCATTCATTAACACAGAGACACGCAGAATTCATTTTTAAATAGGAATCTTTTTGCGGCTTAATATTTACAAATACTAGTGGGAGTGTGCTTATTTGTGTGTGTGTGTGTGTGTGTGTGTGAGCGCGCACATCGGGCGGAACTCCGCTGTGCGTGATACAGAGAGCGCGACCATAACGTAGAGACCGAAATGACATGCCGTCGTGTAAATAAGATAAATAACATAAGGCTATTAGTTTGCTTAATAAAAGAAGGTATAGACATGTTCTATAGGAAAGGCAACTTTAAATGACTTCTGTTGTGATCTGGCGCTATAGAGAAAATATAGCCGCCCCCCCCAAAATAATGGCAGGGGAAACACTGTACACAGTATTATTTCTGTCGTAAAGTCATTCATATTATCACAGAAATACTGGGATGAAAGTTTATAATTCAGATATAAACATTGATGTCTATGGTGGCGCGACCAAAATAGAGAAAATACGCGTTTGAAAGTAACTGCCACATCACGTTTGTCGATTGCATTGTTTCGCCACTAGGTGGCGAAAAGTGACTTAAAAAATGTATAATTGAATGAATCATTTATTCAAGAGAATGGTTCAAAAACGCTGATTCATCCCGTAGGTTTATGAGTCGTTGAATCATTGATTCAAACTACTTTTTCATAATTTTAATATTAAATTGGTGTATTAAATATATTATATTTTAAATACATGTACACTACCAGTCAAAAGTTGTTGGAACGTAAGATTTGTAATTTTTTTTAAAGAAGTCTCTTCTGCTCACCAAGCCTGCATTTATTTGATCCAAAGTACAGCAAAAACAGTACAATTTTGAAATATTTTTACTATTTAAAATAACTTTCTATTTGAATATATTTAAAAATGTAATTTATTCCTGTGATTTCAAAGCAACATTTATCTGAAATATAAATATTTTGTAACATTATAAATGTCTGTATCGTCACTTTTGGTCAATTTAAAGGATCCTTTCTAAATAAAAGTATTAATTTATATGTGAAAGTTCATTTTATTTTAGATAGCATCTCATCTAGCACATCTTACAGTTCTAACATAAAAAATATGATAATTTGGACTAATAATGCATATAAGGAGTAACAGAACACCAGTTTGTATCTGAATCATAGGAAGAGTATCTAGAATTAAATGTAGTTACCTGTCTGTATGTGTCCTGATGGTGTTCATCATTACGGGAGTCGTAGTACTGCTCAATAAAGCCAAAATATTCCTGCCGCTTTCTATGCAATGTGCTTTCTCTCCGCTCTGCATTGGCTGGCAGGTACCCCTGTAAAGAGACAAGCAAATACAAAAGCTAATGTTTACACCAGGCCAGACAAGATACCTCTAAATCAATCTGATATAGATCTGCACTCGCCAACAAAATGTTTGTTTGCCTGCATCCAGCACAATAGCTGTTAACTTGAAGTCAGCTGAAATAAGAATTCTGAAAAGTTTTAAGGTTTCACAGAGTTTGGGGCCAAAAGTTTGATATCAGTCACATTTAAAGTTACATTTCCTCTTATTACTTGCCACAGCAAGAGAATGAGAACGCAGCAGATGTTCAGGCCCAGAAAAGAAAGTCTCTTGATAAAGTAATTGATTGCATGAAAATCTACAAGCACAGAAATCCATTTATCACACAAGACGCTCCCCCATGTGGCTATTTTTTACTTCCACACTCAGACAAGTTTTGTGACAAGATGTATGTGTGCCAAGGAGAGCTCTTCTTTATGCTCCATTAACATATGTACATGTAATTAAGTCTAACAGACTAACACATTATAAATAATGTTCAGATTATTAAAAGAAAAAGCACACCACAGAGTAGGCAATTAATAAACCTGATGTTGTACATGGGAGTTTTTCTTCAATTCTAGAGTCTTTTGACCCTGTGTGTGTATTTGTATATATATATATATATATATATATATATATATATATACACATACATACACACACAGTGCATATACATAAATAATTTTCCACTTTTTAAACCAACAACTTATTTCAATCATATCTCAATTTGTATTTAGTTTAATAACACTTTATTTTAAGGAAAAATTCTCACTATTAACTAGCTGTTAATTAGCATGCATATTCCAAGCATGTTTAATAGTACTTATTAGTATTGTTTATTAGTATTATTAAGCACATATTAATGCCTTATTCTGCATGCCCATATTTTAGATCCCTTAATCCTACTCCATACTTAATCTTAACTACCTTACTAACTATTAATAAGCAGCAAATTAGTTTATTGAGGGGAAACTCTTCATCAACAGTGAATGTGTTCCCTATTCTAAAGTGTTACCATAAAACTATATAGAAATTACTTTTTTTTTCTTGCATAATTTGACAAAGCAAATAAATAAATACATAAATAAAAATCTAAGGAAATTATTTTCACTAGGGATATTTTCCTTGGATTTTCTTTGTTGCCTTCACACATCGTGTTTAATCTCATGAGAAAATTTACCTGACAGTGTTCGTGTTAACTTAAAATTAACATATTGGAAGATGCATTAATTTTTAGATCTGATCATTTCCCTAATATATTTGTTTTTTCCATTAGCAAAGGGATCCAGAAAACGTTATAAAGACATAAAAGACATAAAAAGGGCAATAGAAGTGATGTAACAGCAATTTTGAGAGGTCACTAGGCATTAGATCAGAATAACTGAGCCGTATAACAGCAGAAATATCAAGCTGCTTCACAGGATCAGAACAAACCAAACAGTTCCCTTACTGTCTAATAATAATGGCCACATATATGAGGAGAATGGGCATCTACCTGTCTTTTTCAAACTGAGAATATTGTTACTATATTAGGATCTATATTACACAAAATATATTTTATATATAAAAAGATGCTCGTTCATTCATTTTTATTCATCAAAGACTCCTGAAAAACTATCCCGATACAAAAAAAAATCAAATGCTTTCTGAAGGATCATGTGGCATGAAGACCGTAATGGAGTAATGGATGATAAAAAAAATCAGAATTATTCTACATTATTTTAAAATATTATAATATTTCACAATACTATTTTTTTTTTATCAAATAAATGCAACCTTGAGCATAACAGACTTTATTTGAGGAAAAAAAAAAAAAAAAAACCTTACCGATCCCAAACTTTTTAACAGCAGTGTATAAATACGGAGCAAATATATTGAACAATGTGCTCCACTTTAAAATTAGGTTGGGTCAGGTCAGTGGCAAGGTCTTGTTTACTGTCTGGCTTCCACCATCAAAATAATGTCTCTGCAGACCTCTACCAGAACTGGTAACTTCCAGATTTAACAAAGATCATTTTAACACAGATAATCTACAAAAAGAACTGCTCTCATTAATAACATCCACAAAAGATGACACCACTGATCTGGCACACATGTATTAACGCCGCATCAGGTGAAATAAACATGAAATGAAGTTGTTGTTCTCATTTTGTCGCCAGAGAAAAAGAGAGAGAACGGGGCATTGTTCACAGCAGGTGCAGAGGTCCAGGAACAACAGGCCGGTAATAAATGTTTCCCAGCAGCTGGGTTTGGATGAACACACGCGTAAGGTCTGTGTCCAGGCGCTGGCTCTGCATCAACCCGCTCCCACCTGCTCACGACGGGACGCCATTACTCAAACACCTCGTATTAGTGCGACTGAAACCACCATTTAATCATCTGCACAGCTTTATCCTTTTATTTATTAAAGCCCACCGTGAGCTATTTCACCGAGTGTGGGTGGGTGAGAAAGAGATGGGTCTTACACCCAAAAAAAACAAGTTACCACAGAGAATATGAGACACTGGGGTAAGTCTTTTTTTTATCTTACACCTACAAAATGTTATTTTGGAACCCTCATAACTGCACTTTTAAACTAGTACAAGCCAACTTTTCAGCAGTTATTGTTGTCACACCCACAAATAAGCAAGGCAGCAGGGGATTGTGGGTATAATTTCTACACATCTGGGTAGCTGCACAAAAATAGACCAAAGAGAAGACACCAGCTCTTTTCGTCTGGGCAATGGTGCCATTACCTCAAGTAATAAAATGCGCTGTTACAGGGCAAACATTTCTATAGTGTTGGCATCATGTCTAGAGATCAGATAGATGTGACGTTCTCTTCAACAGGTTTCACTGGCTTTCAGTCATGCCTGAAGAGACAGTCATCACAGGAAATGAAACAGGAAGCCAAGAAGACTCCAAAGTAGCATTGATTTCCCCCGACAACACAAATCACTCAGTGAAACTGCTAGTTGCACTGACAACTAATAGATGTCACATTGATATGGCACTTACAGATGATCGCTAGGCTTTTCTAGGTAGTTGCTAAGCAATTACTAGGGTGTTCTGGGTGGTTGCTAGTGTGTTCTATCTAGTTCCTTGCCAACTCCTAGGATGCTCTGGATGTTTGCTAGATGATTACTAGTGATTGATGATTGACTAGTGATGATAGTGACTTAGAGATAATTAGCTGTTGTTGTTCTGTAAGGTGGTTTCTAGGTTGTTATTAGTGTGTTCTAGATGGTTTCTAGGTGGTTGTCAGGCAATTGCTATGGGGATCAAAATAGTTTCTAGGTGGTTACTAGGGCAATGTTAGGTTTGTCACGATATCAGATTCTACTACACGATTATTGTATTCAAAAGAATTCACATAATTTATTGGATATATAGCAATATCGTTAGAAATCATGAAAACACAAATAATGCTATTATCAGTCCAGTTGTTATTTATTTATCAATGCTATTTATTTTACAAAAAAATATTAGTAGTTAATAGTCTCTTATGGCTTAAGAGAAAAAGTTTTAGTCGACTAAATATCATAAGATTTTAGTCGACTAAATCTACAGTAAATTTAGTCGGCTAAAATCTAATGGGTTTCCAAATTCACTTGGTTTGATATTAAGGTTTTATTCATGATAGACACCGATTTAACTGTGGTGACACACAACATGCCTTTATGTTAAAATTAAATAAAACCACTTCTCATAAAGAACAAGAACATGGTCTTCTTTTTAATGAAATACCAATGGTTATATAGGATAATTATGCATTCTTTATAACGACTTGTTTACCATATTCTTCATTCTTTCAAGCAGACATATTTATTTCTATAAATACATTTAGATTAGTCTTTAGGGCTACTAAAGTGATTCAGTCAAGAGCAATGAGTGATGTTCTGTCTTTCTTTTGTTGGTTGATTAACATCAATGCCACAGACAATAGCAACTAAATTAGGTTGCTGTCCATTTAAAACCGGATACACGGATGCAATGTACTGATACACGTCCAACATTCTCCCAACTGTTTATGTTCACATAAGACATAACTGAGTGTTTACGTGAATACTCGTCAAAACAGACAATTCGTCATCAATTTGTATGTATTTCTCGGTTCATGAGACGCAAAAGAGTACTCGTGTGCTGTGTGAGAGGCGCTGCTTCGGTGTGTGCGCTCAGAAAACCGGACTGAACTGAGTTCTCTTTTGCGTCGTCAGATTTATCCATATGTCTGCTCTTCTCTTACTCCCAGATATCGACATTTCTGTACGTTTTATGAGACGTGCAGCAAGTGGATGTTAGCTTATGTCCTGCTGGTTCATATGTACACATCTAACCTCGTAATTATGCAGCAGATTCGTTCTTCCCGAATCTCTTCCCAAATCGTCCCTCCCTAACATTTTCGTCTAGTTTTTATTCGTTGACGAAAATGTCAATAGATTTTCGTTATAGTTTTTGTTATTCAAAACGAGTTTTAGTTCGTCATCATCTCGTTTTCGTCGGTGAAAAAAAATGTTGACGAAAATTAGGACAAAAATTATTCGTCAACCAAATTAACACTGGTTTGTAAAAGCTGTTTTTAAATGCATGTTTTAGCCTAAGTTTTTGCTGCATTTACACAGTTTTTAGTAGCTGGTGCCAGCAGTGTAAGGAGTTTGAACGATTTTAAATAGTGAATCATTTTGCAAAGCAATTGGTTAATTTAATTCAAAGCTTTGAAAAGGTTTGTTTCTCCCATCACTACTTAGTGGTACTGTGTCAAAGTACAACAATATATGCAAATAACAACATATTTTTACTCCAAACTCACAGTATAATGTCAATCGAGGGTTTGAAATAACTTCCTTCTATGAACCTATGTATGGAAGAATATTCAGGACTTTTTTTCAAAAGAAATTGCAAATTGAATTTTCAATTGCGTTTTCCATATGTGGATGCATAAATTGTGATCTAAATGCAACTTCAGGGGATAATCACTGCATTTGGGGTCAAAAAGACAGAATTATGTAT